AAAAAAAAAAAAAAATGGAGGTTTTTAAAAATATAGTTGCGCTAATGCTGTTTGTTATTGTATTGATGACATTTTTTCAGACTTCTTCTGTAGAAGGAGCTTTCTATTTAGTACAAGGAGGTTGTATAGATGACCCTTTAAGATGGACGACACGGATTGACTCAATTGACGAAAATAGGGCTATTGTGGCGTTTCTCCATGATCAAAAGGTATCTTATGCAGGAATAGGCGGATATGTACAAGGGGGTAAAGCTCATTGGGACGATGGATCTTCAATGAAGTGGAAGTCTAATTGGTATACACCTCCATCAATATCAACCATTGGTTTTCTTGTAGTACGAGACGATAGTTTGTGGGATGTGATGTCCTATGACGTATTTCCAGATACGATGTTCGTTTGCACAGATGGTAAGACAGAGCCAATTCCTCCAACCACAACAGAAGCTCCAACCACAACAGAAGCTCCAGCCACAACAGAAGCTCCAAACACAACAGAAGCTCCAAACACAACAGAAGCTCCAACCACAACAGAAGCTCCAACCACAACAGAAGCTCCAAACGAAACGGATACATCATTCAATGTACTGGTTCCAGAGGTCTTGGATGCCTTGTCGGTGATCATGGGTAAGATGGGAACGTTTGATATCTTAACTTGGACTGCTAATGGTATAAATATTGATGTTGAGACAACACATTTGGTGAAGCAAATTGAGATGTTGCGTCATCGTTATCATTGTTTTGTGGGTGTGAACTTTATGGACATCACTAGTACAGGAGAGCCAAAAGATGTTGCAACTTTGACATATATAATGGGAACTACTATGCAATTTTTTGTACCTTTACCTTTAATGGAGTCTAATATTTCTCAATATGCTATACGTGTTGTAGTTATGAGCAGAACGGAAGGACCATTTTATCGTCAAACAAGCGCCAAACTTTTCATTCACACAGTTGAAAAAGTACTTCTTGGCTTAAAAGGCATAGTAAGCCTTAACGAGGAGGATATACTAGAAGATCAAGATATTTTACAACCACTATTGGTGACAGGACCTGGAACAATTGTGCAATACACTAAAGATTTAGAGCCAAATGTATTTAACGGTCTTTCTTTGACGATAATTAACAATGGTGTTGTTGGACGAACATGCGCCCCAGGAACAAAAAGCATTGATTTTTTCTTTTCAGATGGTAAATTATTTTTATACCTTCCAAATGACTATCTTGTATTGTTGAAAGTAGGACATAAAAGTCTTTGTGCTTCCTTTAATAATAAACATACTATTATCGCGTCGTTTCAGAAGAAACAATTGATATTTGCTGCAGAACGTGCAAGTTACAGATCTGGTGATATAATAGAAGTCTCAGCGCTTGGAGTTTCTACTTCTTTATTCGCACGTAACTTGTACGCTGCTTTCCTTTCAAAATCAGAGCGATGTACTACAATAGATGACACTTCTGTCTCATTAGAGCTTGATACTCCTATTGTTTCGTCAAAAGTATCAAAAGGATTATCATTTTCACAAAAAGAAGAAGAAGAGAACAAAACAACAACAAAACTTTATATTAACATCAGATCCAAGGAGACAAGCACAACATATTTGTGTATGCGACGCACTACAACTTCTTCTGTATTTCGTGTTATTTCCACTCACGGTGGTGAAGCTGTAAAAATTTTAGGTCCATCAACTTCAATGTCTTCAACTGGAAGAATTTACCTTTTTAATGGTTCAAGTGGAGCTATATCATTAAAAGATTTTGTTCTCCCTTCTCAATCAGTAAGTGACGCAAATCACTTTGAAAGTGTATTCCGTCTCATAATGAAAAGTTCTTTGCGCGTTCGTTTTGTTCCTTTACCTGTCGGCACCATATGGAAAGAAAAACTAGAGTCTTGTAAAAATTCTGTATTAAGTGATGGGGTTTTTGACGCTAATGATGGAACTGTTCAAATAAATATACCCCTTAATTTTTCATATATTTCGGGTATTTTATGCGGGGGAACAGAATATCTTCGTATAGATTATATTGTGTATAAAGCTTCAGAGTGGATTCTTGAGATTGGGGATTCTTTGGATGAAGTTGGTTTCGCCGTGATCCCGGCTTTGCCTAGTACAGCTCTGAAGATTAATGTAATGCATTCCGAACCTACAGCCCATTATTCAGTACGTCTTGCAATAGATGATAAATGTCACGTTGGTTTTACTGCTTCTCTATGGCAAGCGTCTAATTCAATTACCGCTGTCAGTTTTCCAAAAACTGTAATTGGAACATTTAAATTATGTGTGGGAATCTACATTGCACCTGGGATTACTTCACTATTTGTTCCTACCAATCGTACTTTATCATTAATATCATATGAAGAAGGTATGAAGGCATGGGAAAAAGAACAAGGTATAAATTCTGGCACATGGGTACCGTGTGGGGCATCTTCTGTCTGTGGATATACACAACAACAATCTTTTACTGAAGTATGTAATAACCAAGTTTCAAACACTCTATGGCCTACTATTATTACCGATAGGTTATATTCATATGGAAGTTTTAATGTAAAACTTTATGAACAAAAGGAAACTTTTCCTGCTATTCTTATCAATAAAAAAGTTTTTATAAGACGAGGTACTTTTTCTTGTCAACATCCAAGTTTACTGGAAATGAGTTTGGATAAGGAGGTTTATACTACTTCAGTTGTGGCAGATCGTGAGCACTCTTTGGTAACTTTAAGACCTACCATACATCTAGCTGGAGTTATCTTTGGATTTACCCCTTGGGATCAGTCTTGTGATGCAACATCAATACGTTATAAGATTCTAGTATCTACAACATTTTCAGAAAAATCAGGAAATGACGTATCTTCTTTAGATCTTGCTAAACTCTTATGGAATGGTGAAAATGAATATTATTTATTGTGTTTATTACGTAAAAATGTATGGCAAGCTATATCAGAAGCGTATATTCACATAACGACAGGAAATATAGATACTCATAGTGTTAGTGCGGATGCTATTACTACATCTAATCCAATGGTAAACAAAAATCATATTTTTCTTTGGCAAACAGAATCTGTAAGGTGGACAGTTGTAGGTTCTTTTATGACTGGAATAATAATATCACTTGCTCTTGTTTGGGATGATGCAACTTGTCTTGCCACTCCTGCGTATACATCCGTTATGCATTATATATCTCCAACTATTTCATATGTGAATGTTGAATCTTTTTATATTACTACTGCACCAACTCCAAGTTCTTTATTGCATTTATGCTATATTGTTGAAGGTTCTACTCCTTCACCGTTAAGTATCGAAGAACATCGCATGCGACGTATTTTGATGTTAGATCTTTCACTTTCTTCTATTAATTATCTCCCTCATTATGCAATACGATACGGAAGTAAAGAAAATACAACCATATTTCTTTCTGATCCTCTAAAACCTCCTATAACGCAAATCGAACTCTTTTTTGCTCGTTCACCAAATGATAAAAATGCTACATCTGATTGTTCACTTACATCTCAACATCATGTTGCCTCTTTACAAGTACATTCTGACGCATTTGGATTACAATGGGTAAATATTTTTCCAAGTACTATATCTATGGTAGGGTCTCCTGGACAAGAAACCTACTTACTTATCTGTGCAACAGCTTCTAAAGGTGTTAGTCTTCACTTTGTCCCTGTTAGTGCGTATTTGGTTATCAATGATGTTGGTACAGGGACACAAATTGATCCATTCTCTTTAGATCTTATATTTTCGCCACTGAATGGTACAGGTACCATTCTTGATTTATCGCCATGTGTATTAGTTCTGAGAAAATATGTTTCTGAGGTAACCAACCACACTACTGAGGATAAAAAGATTCTAGTAACCGCAAAGGGTCGCAATCATTTTGGACTTTTTATTGAACCAGGTGTAGATCTAGCAGCTGAAGAAGCATCAAGGCGTCTTCGAGCTGTTTACAAAGCAATGACTACAGGAGAAGGTTTACCTTTGCGTGTTAGCTCTTCAAGTGGTTTATTATTTCTTCTCTCATATGTAGAAGGTCTTCATCTTATTTCTCAATCCCCTTTTAATGGAATGCCAGGTGTGAATGTGAGTGATTTCAATAATAAATCTTCTTCAATGGAAGGAGATTTGGTTAAACAGGCTATCACTATATTTTGTGTTGTGATCGCACCTATTGCCGTTGGATTTGTGGCATTCTCTTTACAACGCACCATACCGAAATTAAACCGCCCACAATTAGGCAAAACCAATAAGAAAAACATTCCAATAAAAGGTACAAGAGCAACACTCTTTAAAGAGGGAATTGAAAAAAAAGTGGAATTTGAGAACACAGAGCCTGACTCCCCGCCACCCCGTAAACCACAATCAGTAGAGTGCAGTAAACCAGAAATTGCGGTAGTGAACACCACTGCAAATCCCTTGTATGATTCCGATGGGGATTCAACACCTGTAGACTTTGGCTGCACACCCCCACCGCGCCCCCAGTCAACACTGGGCGAAACAACCCTGACATCTGAGAAGGTTACGACGGATCCTGAAAAGCAGAGAGAGACATAGAATGAAAACGATGGGAAAGAGAGGAAATATTTTTCCTTTGTAGAAGGAAGAAATATGAAAAAGGGAAGAAGAAAGATAAAAAAAAAAAAAAAAAAAAAACAAATGTTTGGGTATATTATTATTCATTCGAACGAACGTTTCGCTCTTTTAATTTTCTTGTTGTGAATAAATATTATTGATCTTGGCTTGCTTGGTAACGTTATTTTTTTATTATTACTATTATTATTATTATTATTATTATTATTTCGTGGTTCTACCTCTTTTTGGAGGGAGTAACAAAAGAAGGAACACGACACGAATAAGTTGAACCCATTGTCTGGTTTTATTTTTATTTAAAACTTCTTCTGTGATCGTATTTTTTTTTTTTTCTTCGTCTTCTTAATTGTTTTTACTTTTTCTGTCTCTTTCTCCTTTTTTTTAAATTTATTTATTCTCTTTCATTCTTTATTTTTTTTATTTTTATTTTTTACTACTCCCTTCCCCACCCAAACTCTCTCTCTCTCTCTTTCTCTTTTTTTTCTTCTTTGTGATTTCTCCATAGTTCATTGTTTACACAGCGTGTACGTTCTCTCTGTGAAGTGCCAGTTACCATGTCGCGCAATCTTGGTGCCGAGGAGGAATGGGAAGATTATGAAGGTGTAGAGGAAGATGAAGAAGAGGAAGATACAACCATCAACAACTCTGATGTGGTGATGCGGTACAAGAAGGCGGCTCTGTGGTGTAATGAAACTCTGCAAGTCGTTCTCGATGCCGTTAAACCGGGTGTAAAGGTGTATGAGCTTTGCAAACTTGGCGATGACACCATCCTGAAGAAACTCAAGACAATGTTTAAGGGTACTGAGAAGGGCATTGCTTTTCCAACCTGTGTTTCCGTTAACAGTTGCGTCGCCCACAATAGTCCAGCGGCTGGTGATGATGCGGGAGAGCAGGAAATTCGTATGGGAGATGTGGTACATGTGGATTTGGGTATCCATGTGGATGGTTACTGCGCACAGGTCGCTCACACGATTCAGGTAACAGAAAACAATGAACTTGGCTCTGATGAGAAAGCTGCAAAGGTTTTAGCTGCAACGCACAGCATTCTTAATACTGCCATGCGAAAAATGCGTCCAGGAACAAATGTTTATGAAGTGACTGAGGTCATTGAAAAGGCCGCTGCGCACTATGGTGTAACCCCTGTTGATGGTGTACTTTCTCACATGGTGAAGCGATACATCGTTGACAGTTTCCGATGCATTCCGCAGAGAAAAGTTGCAGAGCACCTTGTGCACGATTACACCCTGGAAGCTGGTCAGGTGTGGACTCTCGATATCGTGATGAGTTCTGGAAAGGGCAAACTGAAGGAACGTGATGCCCGACCAACGGTTTTCAAGGTAGCACTTGACTCTAACTACAATATGAAGATGGAGTCTGCACGTGAGTTGCAGCGTGAGATTGAGGCAAAATACCAGACGTTCCCCTTCGCCCTACGTAACCTTGAGACAAAGAAGGCACGACTAGGTCTATCGGAGATGGTTAAGCACAACGCCGTCGTGCCATACCCTGTCTTGTATGAAAAGGATGGTGAGGTGGTTGGTCACTTTAAGATGACACTGCTCATCACGGGTAAAAAGATCGAGCCGGTGACTGGTCTTAAGCTCCAGAAGGCACCACCACTTCCGCCCTACACGGATGAGTTGCTTCTGACAACAAGCAAGTTACCACTTTCACTGGAGGAGAAGAAAAAGAAGAATTAGGTAAACTGAAATGAGGCAACTCCAAAGAAGGGATATGAAGAAGAACAACGAGAAAGAAGGAAAAGAAGAGGAAACTGTGGCACATGTCGTTTCATATTTCCTTGAATTGGCAAGAACAGCTGAAGTGGATGTCCCTCGTTTAAATGAGGAACGGCCTTGATGATAAGACCAAAAAAAAAAAAAAATGAAAAGGGAAAAAATTAAGATGAAAGAGAATATATATATATATTTAAAAAGAAGAATGAACGAAAAAAAAAGAGGAAGATATACATAAGCGATAAAGGCCCCATTAAAAAAAAAAAAATTAATCCTTCCCCCATAAGAAATTCTTCTTCTTTGTTTAACGTATATATCTATGTTTGCATGTATATGCTCTGTATTTTATGACTATACCCGTATTTTTTTTTTTTTTTTTTTCTGGTTTCAGCTTGTTTTAATTAAATATTACCCTTGTTTGGTTTTTTTTTTTTTTTCTTTTTTTCTTTTTTTTTTCTACAAGACTGAGTGCTTCTCTGTGTGAGTGTGTGTTCCTGCACTAGTGAAAGAATAGTTCGCTTCTGGTGTGAAAGCAGAGAAAGAAAGGAGGAAAACAAGAAAAAACAAAAACAAAAATAACAAGAACAAGAACAAAAACAACAACATATAAAAAAAAAAAAAAAAGGGATTAACGATCCATAAGATGAGCGCTGTAGATGTCAATGAGTTACGCCAAGTGACGCTCGGTAAGAAACTTGGTGCTGGCAGCTTTGGTTCTGTCTACGCTGGTATCCTTCCTAGTGGACGGTTTGTGGCTGTAAAAGAGCTGGAGCTTGCTGAAGATGCCCCTACAAATACGGAAGTTGAAATTCATAAGAAATTGGTACATGAAAACATTATTCGGTATCTTCACAGTCATGTTGACACTGAAAGTACCCCAAAGCGATTATTTGTTTATCTCGAGTTTGTTACAGGTGGATCGGTAACCTCACTTATGAAAAGTCTCCCAAATGGACATTTACCAAGTTCTGTTGTACGTGTCTACGCGCGCCATATGTTTTCTGGATTGGAATATCTACATAAGAATCAAGTTGCCCATCGCGATATCAAGGGTGATAACCTTCTCATTTCCATGGATACGGGTATAGCAAAACTGGCCGATTTTGATCAGGCAAAAATCATGACTACACATGGAACTCTTCGTAAAGCAGCGACGGCAACTTTGGCTGGAACGCCTTACTGGATGGCGCCGGAAGTCATTACAGACGAAAGTGGATACGATCCTTTTAAAGCCGATATATGGTCTGCAGGTTGCACAGTGGCTGAGATGATAACAGGACGACCACCATGGACACCAATGAGCAATGTAATGAACATAATGAATAAACTTGCCATGTCTTCAGGATGGCCAGATGCTGTTCCAAAGGATCCCAAGGTTTTAGGTTCTCAGGAGGCGTACGACTTTCTTGATTTGTGTTTTCGCCGTAATGTTGCTGAGAGACCAGATGCCACAACACTTTTAAATCATCCTTTCTTACAATTACCATAAAGTGAAGTAAGGAATGTGTGTGTATGCGTGTGCGAAATGAGAAACATATGCGAAAGAGAAAAAAAAGATGTGTGCAATTGGGCGAGAGGAGGAGTTTGAAAAGTGGGAAAGAAGAAGAAGAAGGAAAGATGTCCAAGTTATGAACATGTTTTGATGCTTACGGAAGAAGAAGAATGCCAAGACAAGCAAAAATAGGTGTGACGAAGAATGGTGAAGAAAAGAAATCAAAAAAAAAAAAAAAAGAACAAAATGGAAGAGGTAAAGAAGAAAAGATATCAAAGGTGATCTTCTTGAGTTGTTTTCCAGAGAAATTGTAATTATATTAAAAAGAAAAATTTTACCTGAGCATAGGGGCTCTCTCCCTATCTCTTTCCCTCTCTTTCCCTCTCTCTCTCTTTTTATCTCTATCTCTTACACACATACATATACACACGTACATACATACATACGGAAAACAACAACAACAAAAACAACAAAAACAACAACAAAAAAGAGTCATGCGTACACTTCAATACGAACACACAGATGATGGTAAGTAGTTTGAGGACTTTGCGGAGAGAGGTCGATTTCTGTTGCGTTTTTCTGTACTCTCTCGCGGAACATTTTAAAAGGACATTTTGCTTATAGATGTTCCTGCACAAACTTATTTATGTTTCTCTCATATACACATAAACATACATACTCTTACAATCGCTGCATGTTTGAGTATGTTTTTGTAAATGTATATATGAGAGAAACAAAGAGGGGTTATAGTTTTTTTTTATTTGTCTGTTGCAACACAGAAAAGCCGGACAATTGAGTTTAACTGTGTGTGTGTGTTTGTGTGTGTGTGCTCTTTCCGGCTTTATATATTGTTTCTTGTTTTTTTTTTTTTCCTTTTATCTCAGCGGATGACGTGCCTCCCTATGTTAGTATGGTAGCTGGAGAGGAGAGGAAGAGAAAAAGAAAGAGTAAGAAGAAGGGGAAAAGAGACGTATTTGGACGACACCTTTTCAGCCTCATTTTTTTTTTTTTTTTTCTATGCAAAACAATTTTCTTGCGCAAGGTGTATTTTCTGCAACCTCGTTCTCTTATTTTATTGCCTTCTATCTATCTGTGTCTCTCTCTGTCTGTGTGTGTGTGTGTGTGTTTTGGTCTCTTCTTTCCCCTTTCTTCTTCTTTCCCTTTATTCTGACCATGTTTCTCTTATATTTCATATACTGCCGTATTTATCTCTTTCATTTTTTTTTCTTTCTTTCTTTCTTTCTTTCTTTTTTCATTTTTCTATTTGGTAAAAGGTGCAACCCGCCAAGATCGTTTGTGTTGTTTTTTTTTTTTTTTTCTTTTTCGAGGCATGGATTCAACCAACTCCCAGCAGACATCGAATCAACGACCGACCGGCATTACCCGTGTAGAGGACAAGTATCTCATTGATGAGGATGCCGTTGTCGGCCGTGGGGCGTGGAGTGTGGTGAAGCGGTGTACGCCAATCGCACCCTATACACCTCCAGGGTCTACGCCAGATATGAAAATTGTTGTGAAGATCATCGAAAAAGAGTACCTCATATCGCTAACCAAGGGCAATGTAGAAAGGGCAATGGCTGAAGTAAAGCGAGAAATTGATGTACTGCGACACATTCCTCCTCACGAAAATGTTGTAACATTTTTAGAGTACATCGAGACAGAAAAGGAGTTTCTCCTTTTTTTTGAAGAAGTACAGTGTGGAGACTTGTGCGAAATTATTCTCCAGTCATCTGAGGGAAAACTCACAGAGGAAAAGTCAAAGCTGTACACATATCAAATAATTAAGGCAGTTTTGCATTGTCATATTCATGATGTCATTCATCGTGACATCAAACCAGAGAATCTGCTTGTTAGCAATGATGATAATATCAAATTGACAGATTTCGGTCTTGCTAAACGATCAAAAGGTGTATGTACATCAGCTGAACCGAGAGATCCTTTGGATCCTGTCGCTTTATGCATGGAATATCCAGGTGCTGAGCGACTTATCGGGAAACGTGTGGTTTGTTCTGATGTTATTGGAACTCCTCGCTATGGCTCACCTGAGATGTTTTATGCTAAATTTACCCAAACACACTATGATGGATTTAAAGCAGATACATGGTCTGTGGGAGTTGTAACATACATTACTCTTTCTGGAAGTTTCCCTTATTCTGCAGCGGCACATGCACCAGAAAAGGAAGTATTTCGTACAATTATGGATACTGTACTTCCAGTACCTCCAGGTATGTCTCCCATTGCACTTGATTTTGTTCAACGACTTCTCAATAAAGATCCTCATAAACGTATTTCCTTGTATGATGCATTGGGACATCCATGGCTTGAAGGTGTGGCTCAAACTCGAGAATCTGTTATGGTACCAAGAATATTGGAAACTTTTACTTCTGCAGAGATGTTACAAGCGTGTAAAATGTTTAACAAGGAGGCTCAATCACTACATCAATGTATTCGACTCTTACAACGTGAAAATCAACGTCTTCGTGATGAACAAGAGAAAATTGAAGAATCTATGTCTTCTCGAGACAGAGATGTACGTCGTACGAGCACTCCACGGCGCGCTGAGACGCCATCAGGTACTTCTCGCACACGAACTAATCGTACACCTGGTGCTTCAAGTTCTTTACGTGTTACTTCACCAGCAAGAACTGGAGTACGACCTGGACGTAGTAGTATTACTAATGAAAGTTCAAATGGTTCTGTGCGACGTCCATCCGCGCACCGAATCAGTGCACGAAGTCCTCTGGCACGCAGTGCAGCAAGTACTGTTCGACGAGGTACTCCACTACGTGCTGGTGGAACCACGCCAATGCGAGCTGGAACTCCATCACGTACAACTGGAAGATCTACGTCTGCTGCACGAGGTGTTTCTCGCCCTGCCAATAATGGTGTTCCATCTACACCAGTTGCTCAGCGTGCATCTACACCAGGTCGAACAGGAACGCGCTCTACAACCCCATCTCGTTCATCGATGGTAAGTCATGTTACATCGGCGAAGGAGTTACATGTAGGAGAAACTGTTACGTATAAGGGATACCGAGCTGTTGTTCGCTTTAACGGTCCAACTGCATTTGGGGCTGGAATCTGGATAGGATTAGAGATGATGGAAGGTAACGAAGGAACCAACGATGGTTCATCCTTTATTGATAAAAAACAGTATTTTACATGTCCCAAAGGAAAGGGCGTCTTTGTGCGGGCATCACAGGTCAAGAAACTGTAGTTTGTTGTGTCCAGATGGATATGAAAAAGAAAGCGGAATAAAGTGAAGGAAGGAATTTTATAGGAGGAAAGCAAAACATAGGCTATTGGATTTTTTTTTTTCTTTGTGGTTTTGCTTGTAGATTTCTTGCCCTAGAGTTAGAGAGAAAGTATGTGTTTGTCTGCGTGTGTGTGTGTGTGTGAACGAGAGAGAAAGAGAGAGAGAGAGAGAGAGAGAGGAAAAAAAAGGTTATGAACGGAGGTAACGAGAGATATCATTGTATATGCCTTTGGCGAATTTGTAACTCTGTATTTTTATCCTTCCCAAAAAAAAAAAAAAAGAAAGAGGAGGATAAGTAAGAGAGAAAAATATATATGAGAGTGAGGGGAGGAGGTGTTTTATCCCTTATATTTTTTTTTTCTTTCTTCGGTGCCTCGTTTTCTTTCGACAGGATTTCAGCCATCAGTGCGTTCTTTTTTCTTTGTGTCTCCTGCTTTTGTTTGTTCTCTTAGGGGGGGATGCGAAGGAGTCTGAAGAATTCCACACTCAATTTTTTTTCATATATATATGTTTTTTTTTTTTTTATTGTTGTACTTTTCTCTTGTGTCTTTTTTTTTTTCTGTTTCTATATTTAACAATATTCATCTATGATAATAGTCGTAATAGTGGTGTTGGTGTATCGTAGTGTGATACGGCAACAGAGAGGCGGTTGTATCCTTCTACCGCTTTTTCACTTTTTATTTGTAAAAATAAATAAAAAAAAATGACGCTAGATGAAGGAGAGACTCTCTCGCGGGCGGTGCAGCAGCTACGCCGGGCATGTAGTGATGTGTCTGGTGCTACCGCAGAGTTGGGCACTGCGCGGGATATGATGGCTCGTGAGAAGTTGCGCAAAGCACGCTTACTTGCCACACAATGTGAGGGAAAAGTCTCTGGTATTCTCTCTTCATGTGTGGGGGCGGAGATGGTTGCTTTGCGGGGTCAGTTTCACTCTGCAATGTCAGAGTTTGATGTGCTTAATAAGGAAGCCACACGAAAGGAAAGACAAACGTGGCGATCCAGTGTCCAAACCGATACTTCTTCATTAGGAAGAGGAGGGGAAGCGGGAAGGGGTGAGTCGCTTGCAATGTATGAACCTGTGCGAGTTCAGGAGATAAAAACTGTTGATATGTCGGAATTTCACACAGAAGAGGCACTTCAACGTGAAAAGTTGCTCGGTGTGAGAGAAATTGAAGGCAATATGATGGATCTGAGGACCACATATATGGAGTTTAATGACCTTGTGCAGCATCAGCAGACTAATCTTGACATGATGACAGAGAATGTTTCTTCTACACAGACATATGTGGAAAAGGGAAGAAGTGAGATTAAAGTTGCCTCTAGACGCCAACGTTGTGGGAGGAAAATGTTGTGTACTATTGCTGGTGTTCTTGTTATTGTTATTATTGTTGTCATTGTAGTGGTTGTTGTTCTCAAACGTTGAAGCGAAACAAAGTAAGTATTTATGCGAAGTGAAGTCATGAAAGGTTTCTCAAACCGTTTTTTTTTTTTTCAATTTCTTGTTTTTCTGTTATTATTACTATTATTTTTCTCTGTATTGCGAAATTACTTATATCGTCAGCTTATTCTAGGTGTGCCTCGTTATGATAACTATATCATTCTCCGATTTGACTCTTATTGCTCCAATAGGAGAATATGAATTCTATGGTTGTTCAAAAGGTATGATTCTGTGTTTTTTTTTTCTTTTTCTTTTTTACTCTTGAATACATGAAAATCCTCACTCTGTTCTGTTTTTTTTTTTTTTTTCTTGTTGTTGTTGTTCTTAAATGATCTGCAGAATATCAAACAAAAGAGGAAAACAAAGAAAAAAAAAAATACGTTTCAATCACCTTTCGGCCTTCTCCGTTGATTCTCAATTCTAATGGACTTCTTGGGAGAGAACCAACAACAAGAACAACCTCAAGAAGAACAAATTGCCCCTCTTGACAACAGTGAACAGAAGCCATCCATTAATCAGAATCAGAATTCATACCCATTATTTAATGATGATACTTCTGCATCCGTGACTGAAACCCAAGGGGAGAAGAAGCAGTCTTCTCAAATGCCAACCTCAGCTTCGTGGGATGGTAGTACTGATGACTTTTTTGGACCCACAGATACAAAAAATATTCCTGAGGATCCAATTGCGGCTCCAACTTCCACCGGTACTACAACTACGACTAAACCCACAACAACTACAACCCCTGCAGCATTGGCGGCACACCCACAAAACACAAACGGTAGTAAAGTAATGGAAGCGGCAAATGAGCAAATCCAGGCTAGAACAGCAAGTATGGATGCCAAGACAAAAGAGAAGGAGGCAAAAATTATCGATGCCGCCCAACTCTACCTAAAGGAGGAGAACAGCAAACATACAGAGAAGTTGAAACAGGTAAAGGCTGAACACATGCGTCAACAAAAAAGTGAAGAAACAAAGCGAAATGAATTTAAGAAAAGTGGAGCTGTTTGGAATGGTGTGGCGTTGATGACAGACTTGAATAAGGCGAACAAGTTCTCCAAGGGTACAGAGCGTATGAGAAGTATTCTTATCAAGTTGGGTGAAGTGAATAATGCATAGCCTGGTGATTTGCCCCATTCTGTTAGCGGAATCAATGGAATTGTATTAGGCTTACTGCAGGCAAGAAAAAAAAAAAAAAAAAAAAAAAAAAAGAAAAAAAAAAAGAAATTTAGTTGTACGGGGAATGCACACCCTCCCCTCTTTCTTGCCTCCCTCTTCTTTTTCTTTGCTTGAGTTCCTTCTTTAACATGTGGGAGTTATTGCTTCTACTGTTCTTGTTTTCTCTCTTCTCTTTTCGTGTTATCCGTTTGTTATTAATATTATTATTATTATTATTATTATTATTATTATTACTTTCCTTCTTCTTTTTTCTTCTTCTTCCCGTTCCTGTGTATTTGCGTTTTTAGGACCTTGATTTTCTCCGACTGAAAATGCGCGGTGGCAGAGGCGGAGGACGCGGCGGCGGCAGAGGTGGCGGTTTCGGCGGCGGCGGTGGTCGTGGTGGCGGCGGCGGCGGCGGACGCGGAGGATTCGGCGGCCGTGGAGGCGGTCGCGGCGGTGGTCGTGGCGCAGGCGGTCGCGGAGGCGGTCGGGGCGCCGGCGGCAGAGGTGGTGGTCGGGGCGGAGCGGCCGCAGTGCGCGGCAACGTCTTCCAGCCACATGCCCGCATGCGTGGCTGCTACCTGCTGGCCGGAAAGGACACACTCGCTACCAAGTCTCTCGTCCCTGGTGTCTCCATTTACGGCGAGAAACGCCTCAGTGGCACCACCGCCGGCGAAACAGAGTCATGCGAGTTCCGAGTGTGGAACCCCTACCGCTCAAAGCTGGCAGCGGCTATTTACTCTGGTGTCGCCCAGATCTACATGGAGCCTGGGTCCACTGTCCTTTATCTCGGGGCTGCGAGTGGAACGACCGTTAGTCACGTCTCAGACTTGGTGGGGCCAGAAGGTGTGGTATACGCGGTTGAATTTTCACACCGCAGTGGGCGTGATCTTGAAGAAATGACAAAACGCCGTAATAATATTGTTCCCATTTTGGAGGACGCGCGGTATCCACAAAAGTACCGTATGCTGATTCCACGATTGGTGGACTGCATCTTCATGGATGTTGCCCAACCTGATCAGGCGCGTATCCTAGCTCTGAATGCGCAACATTTTCTTAAGGATAATGGTGGTTTTGTAATCTCTATCAAAGCTAATTGTATTGATTCTACTGCAGATCCTGCTACAGTGTTCGCCTCTGAGGTACAGAAGCTGAAGGAATCCGGTCTCAGACCCAAGGAGCAGGCTTCGCTAGAGCCTTTTGAGCGTGATCACGCAGTTGTTACTGGTTATTATAAGTCTCCACCAAAGTAGGTTACAATATTTGTGCCATGGTGTTGCTGCTGGTGTCTCTTTTTTTTTTTTTCTTGAGCACCGACGCAATATACGTCTTAAAGAAACGAGAATGAGAAAAAAAAAAAGGAAGGGGCAAAGTGAGGGGGATGCCCATAACGCTAAAAAAAAAGAAATAATACGTTAAACAGAAATCGAAAAGTAAGACAAGGGAAAAAAAAGAAAAGGAGTGAGTAAACCATAAGCAAAATTTATATTGCATTGACAATAGAGAGTAATCCAATAATACTCTTGTGATTATCTTCTATGATAAAAAAAGAAAAAAAAGAAAGGTAATTTACTGTTTTTTTTTTTTTTTNTCTTCTTTCTTTTTTTTTTTTTTTTTTTTTTTTTTTTTTTTTGTGTGTGTCGTATTTTCAGTTGTTGTTTTTTTCCGGTATAGGAAAGAAGGTATTTGAAAAAGAAGTATTGCCTATGATCCCACGGGCTGCACAAATACGCCAGCAGCAGGCCAATGAACGACGTGCTAGGCTGGAAGAGAGCGCAGCACGTGCTGCCAGAGAAGACGTATTTGCTCGACACAATGCCATGCGTGGAGTACATGGAGTAGGTTCACGTTTTGCTAACACCAATCGATACTCACGGCGTGATCCCAATCGTGGTATCATAACACAAGCAGAGTGGAATGCTTTGGTTGAGGAACATGAGGATTCAGGTTTTAAGTTTCGAATTTTCTTTTTCCTACTTGTACTTTTTGCTATTCTTTTATTATCCTTTGCAAAGTACGATGTTGAATTTAATCTCGAACCACCACAAATAGAGAGTGGAAAAGGTTTTGGAGAAGTTCCCGCTACCTCTGGTGGGAGTATTCGTACTGAAGAACTTGAAAAATATTATGAAACACTAGGTGTAAAAGGAAGACTTCGACGTGAGGAGAAAAATGCTGAAAACGCTGACTACGATGCTGACAAAGAACGTCGACGAGAAAATTTTCGTGTTCGTAAAGAAATTCGTGAAGCCCTTAAAAGACACGAAAAGGAACGGGGTCAACTTGTTCACTGTGGGCGTGCTTGTGAGGCTAAAAATCAACAAGTTAATTTGGCTTATAATCGACTTGCTTCTCAAGTTGACCGTGAGCTCTACGGTGTTTTGTTGGACGCAAAAGATACTAAATCTCAAAGATCTCTGGATGCGTCAGAACTAAAAAAGGCTTATGAAGCTAAGAAAAAACAAGTAGAGGAGAACGAAAAAAATGAAGAAGATAAGGAAATGGCTTTAGAAGAGTTAAAGGATGCCTATGATATTCTTGTTAATCCAGATGCTCGAAACTATTACCTTCTGTATGGAATGAAACCTCCGGAGCATATGCGTCACATCAGCGCCAAAAGCGGTGGTTGGGGACAGGAACTAACCCTTGGTACGTATAAATATCGTATTATACTGGCGTGGCTTGACTTTTTACACGATTACATTGGACTTTGGGGCGAAACAATTGTGCTACTCGCCGCTTTGGCCTTTGTACTCTCACGTATTCCTATTGCCTTGAAGCAGTCCCAACATTTATTAGATGAACTTGAGTGGGAAGATGCAGTAGAAGAGTCTGAACGAGCTGGACGAAAAGAAAATGTTGCTGCAGAGAAGTAAAACTCCTGTATATGTGTTTTTTTTTTTTTTTTTTATGGTATTATATATATATATATATATATATATATATATGTATTGATATAGGGTGAGTCTGTGCCTCTTTTGCTTACGCATGTGCGATTTTTTAGAGGTGTATATAATCCAACTTGGTGAAAGATGAGGGGGAAAAGAAATATATAATATATTATATGACTGACTGTTCCATTACTTTTTATGTTTGATTTGTTTTTTAATTTACTTTTCTTCACGACTATATTCTTTATATTTTTTATATATTATATTCATGAAATAACAACAACAACAATAAAAAGGACTTGTTTTTCTAGATTGTATAATCTCCATATGCAAAAACAGCCGGACTATTACGCCCTTCTGGGAGTACCCAGGACGGCTTCCAGGGATGGTATTCGAGAAGCCTACAAAGTAAAGGCGCTAGAGTTGCACCCAGACAAAAACCCTGAGGGTGAGGCAGTATTTAAACTGGTGGTGAATGCATATCATATACTCCGTTCACCTACAAAACGGAGGAAATACGATCAGGAAATGGCCTTGCGCGATGGTCGAAGGCCGCCACCATCTCAAGCTCCAATGGGGCGCTACGGTCCTAAACCGAATACCGGTAATAATGCAAGTCCGATGAGACCAAACCCTGCACCTTCATTCAGTGACGGTGCTTCCAGAAAGTTTACTGATGAAAAGTTGTTCGAGGATATTTACAAGCAATATCAAAAGGGGACCTACGGGGGTTCTGCACCCACCACTAAAGATCCAAAAGAAGGCTTCCGTGGAGCTGGTGGTAATCAGTTGAGCTTCGCAGAATGGTTTAAAAAGAAACAGGAAGAACTTAGACAAGCAGAAGAAATATTTAAGGCCAAGCTAGATTACGCCAAAAAGCTAGAAGTTGAAGAAAAACAGCGGGCTGAAGAGTGGCGTATATTGCAACAACGCAGAGAGCGAGAACGAGAAGAGGAACTAGAACGTGCTCGAGCTCAACGAGAATGGGAAGGCGAGCTCCTACGACGAGAAAAAGAAACAGCCATGAGGAATCGTAAAGCAGAGGAAGAACGACTTAAAGTGGCTGCATATGCTGAGGTTCAGAGAAAACAACAGGAAGATATTGATACTCATCTCAAAGAGCTTGCCAGAATGAAAAAAGAATTGGAGGATGAAAGGCAACGGTTGGCAACAGAAAGAGAATTGGCTCAGCAAGAATCAACAAGTCAACAATGCGCGCGCCGTGAACGTCAACGACAGCGCGAGCTAGAAATAGCTTTAGAAATTCAAAGAGCAGAAGCAAAGGTAGAGGAAGCTCTTGCTCATCAAGCAGATTATGAAGCGTATGAAAGAGAACGCGAAGAACGACGAAAGCGTGAGGAGCAGGCCCGCTTACGTGAAGAAGAACATCGACGTCAAACAAATTTACATGAAGAAGAATCGCGGCGTCAAGCTAACGCGGAACAGGAAGAAGCACGACGAAAGGCTTCTGAAGAACTTGACGGAAAGAGAAGAGCAATATTGGAACAAATTGTGCAAGAGCGTCAGCGACATTTGGATGATGTGGAAGCTATGCGACGTGAAACTGACCGCATTGAGGCAGAAATGCAGGCAAAGCTTGATGCTTTGAGGGAAGCGAAGCGCTCTGGGCAACCGATAAATTTGGACGAATGGAAACTATAGAGGTGTCCACTGGCTCGCTACCACCGTCAAACTATGTGATAAGTTGTCCAATTCGGTGGGTGTGACGCCCGCTGCTGTTCATTTTTTTTTTTTTTTTT